CAGGACCCTGAATGATTGGTTTGAGGCTCTTCGTGTTTCTAGAATGAGCAGATGCCATTGGGCTACGCTAGCACGCAACAGGGATGGATGGAGATGTTACTGGCGCCCGCTCAAGCAAATCGATGAGTAAAGGGATGTCAAGTGATCAAGTGATTGAGTTACTGTGAGATACAGAGTTACAAAGCTGATCACGGTTGGGTTTCAGTCAGAGTGTTCCAACACTATCCATTCACCAGTTGCACATTTCCCACTACAAATGTCTCCAATTTCCCTCCTGCCACCATCCACCTAGCCTGTCTCTAACTTTCCTCCTTTCTGTCTCTGTCTCTGATTGTACTCACTTGTGGGATATATATCATATATATGTATAAATACATACATATATATAAACATAATATGAGACCAATACCAAGTGTGCTGATCTCCCCAAATTGCCACACAATCTCCAATCCAAGGACTCTCTGGACACTCTCTGGACAACTCTCTGGACATCGTTGCATAGCCAGGATTGATGAACTCATTGGCTATTGGAGATTAACTCAACCTCAAGCCCCTCTGCCTCCCCAGAGGTTGGGGGTGGGCCTGAAGTTTCCTGTATTTACACAGTTGGCTTCGTAGCTTCCATCCTTAGGAGGGGTACAAAATTTAACCTCCTGAAAACACTAGATGCCCTTATCACCTTTATAACTTAAGACATGCATACCAAGAATTTTGAAAGTTTTGTGACCTCTAAATGGGTACAAACACCAAATAGTTATTTCTTCTTATAAATCATAAATTGATTTATATTTATTAAATTATAAATCTCCTTTACTTATTTTTTACAAACCCAAATGAAAGAACAAAACCGGTCAGGTAAAAAAAGCTTTTTTCTAATGTGAATGGAAAATTGATTTATCTTGATTTATCAACTCCAATCAAGTGGCATTAGTTGTCTCTAAAGAATGTGTTGAGGGGCCAGGGAGATGGTACAGTGGGTCGAACTATTGTCCTGCATACAGCTGACCTGGTTTTGACCCCCAGTATCACATATAGTCCTTCAAACTCTGCCAGGTGTAATCTCTGAGCACAGAACCAGGAGGAATCCCTGAGCACCTTTGGGTATTCCCCCGTCCCCTTCCCCCACACATAAAAGGGTATGTTGAGAAGGATGCTAAGGTTGTACCCAGAAAGAGTGAGATAGTTCACCTTTAGGATGGAGCATGATGTCTGGTCACGCACAGTATGAATGGGCTACTGCTTTGCCACATGTGTCTTGAAATTTAGGTCTATCCTCTTTATTGAAATCAAATACCTCCCTCAGTGTTTAAAACACACTCTCTTCTAACAGTTTCAAAGCACTTGTTTTCTGTTTGTTGTTGTTGGGGGTGGGGTGGGGAGGAAGGGCCATACTTGGCTGTGCTCAGGGGAATTACATTGGGAACTCCTTCAGGGAAGGGATCCTTTCTCATTTATCATTGGGCTTCTCACCCAAGACTGTGCCCTACCAAGTTGAAACATCAACTAATGACTATTGAATCCAATATAGCCTAACTTGAGCTACAAATGCATTATCATTTCAGTAGCATCAGTAATTATAACTAACGTTTAACAGGTATTTTCTATGAACGAGACACTATGCTAAGTTCTTTACAGGTGTTATTTCATTGAATCCTTTAACAGTCCTATGAAATATGTTCTGGTAGTTCCACTTTAGATGGGGAAACTGAGGCAGTGATTAGTAACTGGCCCTAGGTCACCTGGCTAGGTCCCTCTCAGCCCAGAGCCTGTGCTCCTCCTCATACAAATAACTGTGCTTCCTACTCAACTCTATTACAAGTGCTTTCTAGGACCCACACAGGGATTCCTTCTCATTCACCTGACAGCGATGCCATTTAGATGGATGAGATAGTTCACCTCTAGGGATTCTTTTTATTGTTGACAGAGACACTGAGGCATTGACAGGTGAAGCCATACCTTCACCATCTGCCCAGGAATGTAGCATTGGATGGGAACAGGACATCTTGCTTACAGCCCCTGATGGCTGAGCTGAGAACCCACCCTAGAAGGTTTCCAGCCATATTCTTCTCAGTTTGGGATTGATTTACTGGTCTCTAATGGCTTCCAGAGTCTCATGTCTCTGTGCCTGTGTTTCGAGGTCCCCCATCCGGGTAGAAGCACAACTGAATTTTTCACAGAGCTCTGTTTCTCCCTATAGGATCACCCCAGGGAAAGCAACCCCTCCTCTTTCCCTCATGCCCTTTAACATGAAGTCGGGCCAGCTTGCTAACCACCTCCCCTGAAATATGGGGTTGAAGAGACTGTACAGGTAATTGCCTTGTAATTCAGGTAATTGCCTTGTAAGCTGCTGGCTCTGGTTTGGTCCCCAGCATCAAATAGGGCTCCTCAAGCTTTACCAGGAGTGATCCCTGAGCACAGAGCCAGGAGCAAACCCTGAACACTGCTGGAAGTCTCCCCCCCAACCCTCCTCCGCCCCCGTGTCCCTCCCACCAACATCAAAAAAGAAAAAGAATATGCTCCTGGAGAAAAGATGGGTGGGTAGTGTCTCAGCTTCCTCTCCCCTGCAAATGACTTAGCTCATATCCCAAATGTTCTGAGCCGGGAGGGTTAAAACCCTCCTCACTTCTCAGGCGACTCAAAGAGTCTGTTCTCAACATATAAAGTGACATCAACTTCCGGGGGTGGGGTGAGGCACAGGGCCTGAGAGCAGTCTGGAAGTGAGGGATTTTCAGCAGGAGGACAGGGCCACCTTTTCTTCCCTTTTTCCCACTTCCAAGCTCTGAAGCCCCTAACTAACCCCACCTTCCGGTAGTGGCCAGGCACTTTCGAGAATGCAGCGAATGCATGTCTAGAGGTCTACCAGAAGGGGTCGCTATAGAGCAGGCCGCCAGCTCTGGTACTCACACAAAAGCCCCGCACACAAATCCCCTCACACATCTCCAGTTCCTGGTCCAAACCCAGTTACTCCCAGCTTCTTCCAACCATCGCCTCCCCTATCTGTCCTCTCTGCCTTTCTCCTACTCTTTAACTATTTCCTCCCACATTTCTGAAATGTGCATTGATGTCCTGGTCCCTGGGGTCCCCATCGCCCTGTCAGTCAGAAGCAGGAAAGTGTTTTCTGCTGTGGCCCAGAAACTTCGAGGCCTTTCTGACGGGGGTCAGGGGGGTGAGGTAGGGGGTGTGCGAAGCAGGGGATGGAGAACTAGTACAGGCACTTGTCTTGCTTGCAGCTGACCCGAGTGATCCCTGAGTGCAGAACCAGGAGTCAACTCCGAGGGTGTGGCCCAAAACAAAAAGAAAGAAGGACAGAAGGATTTAGGGATGCCTCCTGCCAAGAACTTGAAACTTCCCCCCACCCCAAGCTCCAAGGAAGAGATGGATGAACTGAGGGTTTTCTGCAAGTATTCTCTGTTTTGCTTGGGGTGGTTGGGGGGCACACCCAATGATGCTCAGGGCTTACTCCTGGCTCAGTACTCAGGGATCACTGGCGGGGTGGGGTGGGGTGGGGAGGTGGCCTCAGGAGACCCATTGGGATGCCAGGAATGGAACCCTGGTCAACCACCAGGGTTTGATTATGTGCAAGGTAAGTGCCCTGCCCACTGTACTATTTCTCCTGTGTCATGGCCTCTTAACTTGCTGATGTCCGCAGGTACCACCCTTTGCTCTCATCTGGATGTGGGTACCACCCATTGCTCTCATCTGGATGTGGGTACCACCCATTGCTCTCATCTGGATGTGACTACTAACCCCAATGGTCAGCAGCGACCCTAGGAAGAGGGAGACTATTTTGTGAGGCTGAACTTCCACTTTCTGAGATTAGGGTTGAAAAGGGAGGAAGTAGAGGAGGAGGGGGAGAAATTGGACAGAAAAAAAAAGTAGCTGTCCCCGGCAGCCTTCACCTTGCCCGCCTCCAAGCCCCTTCCGCTCAGTGTCCTTCCCCCAGACCCGCCGCGTCCATGGCGGCCGCCGCTGAATTCTCTCTGGACGGCTGGCGGGGAGGGTCCACAGCAAGGGCTGGGCAGCAGAGACGGCTGAGAGACACAAAAGCCACCTCCCCCCTCCCCTCGCCGCAGGCACAGATGTAACGCTGCGCCCCTCGGTGGGAGGGGGCCGGCCCGGCAGATGGCGAGAAGGCCAGTTGGTGACGGATTGTCCATCAAGAGCACTTTCTGGGCGGGGGAGCCCCGCGGCGGCCCGGCGTCTGCAAAGGGACCCTCTTTGTGGTCCTGGAGCGTCCCTCTTAGAAGTGCGGGAGGAGGGCGAGCGGGCCGTGGGCGGGGGTCGGGCGGGGAGGTGAAGTTTTCCACCTGCCCACCCAGTGGCGGGCCCGCTCCGGGGGGTGGGGTGGGGGGCTGAGAAGGGCCGTGGCCGGGGTGTGCAGCGAGCGGGCGGCGTGGGCAGAGCGGCCGGGCTGGCTTGCGGGAGCTCCGGACCCGCTCGCCGGCCGGCCTGCGGGGGGTCAGCGCTGGCGCGGGGTGGCCCCGTGACCGCCCGGGTGACGGCGCCAGACAGGCGCACGCCCCGCCCTTTCTCCTCCCCGGACCTGCGGGCTTTTGTTATGCAGATGGCGGCGGGGCAGAGGAGGAGGGAGCTGGGGAGGAGGGAGGAGTAAAGCCCGGCGACCAGCCCCCTCCTCCTCCTCCTCCTCCGCCTCCCCCTCCTCCTCCTCCTCCTCCGCCTCCTCCTCCAACGTCACATTGTGCGAGAGACAAAACCCGGGCGCGCCTGAGCTCACACGCGCACGCAACGCCCCGCCGACCCCGCCGGGCCCGGCCCTGCTGCGCCGCCAGCCGGGCCCCAGGGCGAGGAGCCGGACCGGCCTCGGTCCCCCCGCACCCCGCGGGGCCCCGTCCTCCAGCCTCGAAGCCGCATCTCGTCCCTCGCTCCGCACCTCGGTGGAGCTTTCAGCCGCGGACAGCGCCCGGCCAGCCCGGCCGTGCGCCCCAGCCCGCGCCGCCCGCCTGCCCGGCCGCGAGAGGCGGAAAGAAAGAAAGAAAGAGAAGAACGCGAGAGGCGCGTTTCAGCACTCCGGACAGCGCCTGGCGCCAGGGTCCCGCGGCCGAGGCCATGGCCAGCGTGCAGCAGGGCGAGAAGCAGCTCTTTGAGAAGTTCTGGCGAGGCACCTTTAAAGCCGTGGCCACGCCGCGTCCCGAGAGCATCATTGTCGCCAGCATCACGGCCCGCAAGCCGCTGCCGAGGTAAGGACCCCCTGGCCAAGAGGGGACACGCGGGCGGACGGTGCCCTCTGCCTGGCCAGCGCCCCTCAGAGTGTCCCCCCACCTCCCCGCGGCCGGCGCGCCTGCCTGTCCTCCCGTCCCCCGTGACTCCTGCGTCCTCTCCCGCGGGAGCATCGGGGAACTCGGGGCTGAGCTGCAAGCTGGAGGGAAGGGAAGCGACACTTTAGGGAACGCGACACACTCGGAGCGGTCTGCTGAGCTGGCAGCTTGCGTGGGGTGGGCGGTGTAGGTGGAACCTGACTTGCCGGAGAAACTTTTCTGGGGATGGGAGAGCCCAGAAGACAGCGGTGGGCGAGCGGGCACCGCCAGGGCAGCTTGAGGTGGCCGGGAGCGTGGTCCGGGAGAGAGGATGGGAAAAAAGCCGGCGTCTTTTCATTGCAGCCGCAACCCGGGAAAGGCATGCTCTCACGCTCCGCTCCGAAGCTAGGGAGCTCGGAACGTTTTGACAAAAGCCCATATGCTGTTCCCTCAAATACACCCTACCCAGCACCCTCCTCCGTGCCTGGCTGGCTGCTGCCGCCGGCTGCCAAATCCTCTCCTCTCCAGCCTCCCCAGCACAGGTCAGAGAGGAGGGAGCCAAGATCGCGAAGAAGATCTTGACAGAAATTTCTTTGGTTTTTCTCCACCCACCCCCTTCCACAAAATAAAGGATTTCGGGGGAACTTGGATCAGATGCTTGAGTTTTGATGGTTAGAGGGCTGGTGAGGCTAAAGAAAGGAATGAAAGAGGCTGAAAGAGAAGATAAGGGAGGCGGGTAGCATGGAGGGGAGGTAGGGGCAAAGAGAAGCATGTTGAGACAGAAAATTTCAATTTGTCTTCACAAGTCCGTCCTTCGCGAGGAGTTTGAGAACGAGAAGAAGGAGGCTGTGCCCTCTGTCAGAGGCAGTACGGAAACTTAGATCTTGCCGTGCATGGAGGCGTGGTTCCGTGGGAGAGCGAACGAGAAGAGAGCTAGGCGAGCCCACTCCGGGGATTGATCAAGGCTGGCAGACTACATCAGGGAGTAGATGGGAAACACGTCTGGGAAAGCGTTTTGGACAGGGAGCCTGCTGGAGCAGCTGAACCCGAACTTTCTGGCGGGGTGCTGGTGGATGATGGGTTGGAGAGGGTGGAGACATCAAAGAGAAGGAAGATATTTTGGACCAGAGAACTTCTCTTCTGGGGGCAGCCTGGCTCGGACAGGTCTTGGGAAGATGGGTGCCCTGTCCCCCATTGGGCTCTGGTGGAGTCATGCCGGAATGGGCTGTCGCAGGCGGCACGTGGCAGTGGCTGGTGTTAGGGGTGAGAAGGAGGTAAGGTCCTCTGACCAGGCACGGGTGGGGGTTCCAGAACCCCGAAGACTATGACAAGCTGCTGTTTCCCTGTTTGGAAGGAGGCGCGGTGTAGGCAGTTTTGACATCTGAGCTTTTTTTTTTTTTTAGCTTCCTAGGCTCCTGCCTCCCATGCCCCTTGGGCCGTGCACCAACTATTGGAGAATCAGTCGCTATTTTGACCACATAGAGGATGCCCTTGCTCAAGGGGTGAGAGGAAATTTTGTTAGAAACTAGAAGTGTGGCATTTGATCCCAGAAATACTCTCTGCTTCAGGGCTGCAGAGAGAGGAGGGCAGATTGGATGGAGAGGGGCGATTTGAATTCTGAAAAACAAAAACAAAAACAAAAAACCCCAACTGTTCCTAAGGGCTATTGGATGGGTCCCTTCACCCACTGCCTGTAGGTCTGTTGCTCTCCTGCCCTTTTCTTGGACCCCGTCTCAAGCATCTGGACCCCTCACAAGGTGTCCCAGTGCTCCTGACTATAAAAATCCCAATCAGATCCACCCCAGCTTTGATCCTTGCCACTCCAATGTCATTTCATTCGTGATGTCTTTTCCTGTCCTGGGTCTCCTTCCAGCTGGAGTCATTTCTGAGCTACAAATGTGAGCCAGAAGTCCCTGATGGATGTGCTTCTCAAAGGGTCCTCCTCAGGACTTGGGAGGCAGGTGTGGCCTCTCTGTCGAGTGGGTTCTCGTTTCTGAGCCAGAACTCCTGATTTGGCTAGATCAGAAGCAGGCAACGTTTGTCTTCAAGTGTTCTGAGAAACGCTGGGATGCAGTTGTCTCCCCAGACTGGCCCTCAAGCCTGAGTCATTTTCATTTTCACCTAAACCTGAATCGTCTCCACTCTCTCTCTCCCCCTGTCCCCCAGCCCCCCCCATCCAGCATGGTCCATTTATATCTTGTTTCTAATCTTCTGGACTTGGGAGTAAAAGCCTCACGTTTCTAAAGAAGAGCTCTGGGGAAGGAAAGGGACAACGATCCTAGCAGAGCATCCCATGGGGACCGGTGGCTTCCTCTAGGGGCTGTCTGGGGACTTAGTCTCAGCAGAAATGCTGTTTAGTTCCATGGGTGAAGCACAGCTTCCCGGTCAGCAGAGCTGGCCCAGAGCTAGCTGCAGGGAGATGGGGGATGGGCAGATAACTCCCCCCCCCCACCCTCCATGCAGACAAGAGGATAAAAATGCCAAGGCTACCCCCCGCCCCCGCCCGAACACACTTCTGTGGGATCTTTTAAGTCTATTCCTGAAGATAATTTAGTATCAAGACAGAGGAGAACATTCCATCGATTGGTTCCATAACTATAACCACACATCCTACAACTATCACGCCGGCAAAACCTTCTGCTGTCTGCCCCCACCTCTTCTCTCCCCCTCTTGGAGGCGTACTGGATGAGGCCATAGCTTGATAATGTATCACCTTGCAAGCAGATGTCGGACTCAAATGTCAGAGCAGGAGAATTGAGTGGGAGGTCATATATCATAACGGTTAAGAGCTCAGTGGGACCTGGGTCCCTGCCTAGGAGTCAGCTACCTCCGGCAGAGGACTGAGTCAGGGAGAGCACTTCCCACGGAGTGTGACGCATGGGGATATTTTACTAGATGCGGCTTTGAAAATGAACAGCTCAGGACTCAAAATTTGTACAGCCGAAGACCCCTTTTAGACCCCTCCTGCTGGGAATCATAATGTTTGAGGTCACATAATAAGATACTTATGGACCGAAAACCAACAACTCCCCCCAGGTCTTCAGGTCTATCTGTGGCTCCCCCAGTGATGCTGACAGCTCAGCCAGACAGAACACCAGGGATACTAACTCTTAGCTGTCTTAGATGAAATAAAAACTCAGGAGGTGGGGTGAGGTTGTCCCATAATTCTCTCCAGGGACAGGTGAGCCACTTTCTGAGCTGTCTCTTGTCGGGCAGTGGTGAAGGATGATCTGGATGCAATATTGATGGGTGTGACCTCCTTATCGTCTGGGTTTCTAGAGAGCAGGCCATGCACAGCCAGTCTAGAGATTGGATTGTCAAACTCCTGGACAACCCCAGTGTTAATTCCTAACTTGAGCCTGTCTAAACAGACCTTGTCATTTAGAGTTTGTAGCAGGAGTGAAAGGGTTGCTGGGCATAGCCCTTCTCAGATGAAGACTCTAACAGGGACCCTCTCAGGATGTGGGGGGTCACCATAATCTGTCTGCAACCTAGCAGCCCTGTTGGAAGAGAGCCAGCATGAGTCAGGAAAACACTGACTAAGTGTGAGAAGAAACCCTTTGTACACACATGCACACACACGCACCCCCCAACACACACACACACATGAACACAGCAATTATTTTTGTTTGCTGTTAACTCATCCTTTTTGTTAACAGTTTAGTTCAGAAAAGTTTGTACAGTAGAAGTTTAGATTTACCCACCCTTCTTATTGGAGACTGTAATGTTTGAGGTCCATAGTAAGGAACTGATGATAGTAGCTACAGATGTAATGAATTGGCAAGTATGATTTGAATTGTGCCTACAATTTGTGGATGCAGAAGCCTGATTCAAAGACAGGAGAAGGCTGCCTCCTGCAAGAGAAAAGCCTTCCTTTGGCAAATCTTTAGGCAAGACATTCTTTTCCTCCAAAAATCCTCTCTATGCAGAATGAAGTTCAGAAGCAAGACTTTAGCCCAGTCTCTGTCCAAAAGCCCATAAATTCCAAACTATGGGTGATTTTACTGCAGAAAGGGGGAAGACAGCCAAATTATAAGGTAGGGAAAATGCCTTTGAACCATTTCGTCCAAGTCTCCTCTTGGTGCCAAGAGGTCAGTTAGTACATTTGTGCTGACTCTGCCCTTGGAGCTGAGGGGCAACTGAGAGGCAATCTGCAGATAGCCTGTGTTTAAAGACCTCTGTGCCTAGGGTCACCAAAAATGCCCACCCTGACCATGCCCGCCCTGGCCAGAGAGGATCATTTGTTTGTTTTTTCCTCTCTGGGAAGGGAGTGAGTTATTATCTAGAAGCAAGTCTTCCTCGTTCTGAAAGGTGAAATTTGTTTAATGGTACACAGGGGTCAGTGGGGTCTGGTAGGGTTGGAGGGGAGTCATTGATAACACCTCTGCATTATTGTACAGAACAATGGCTGTTCAGTGAAAGTTGGAGGTATTGATTGAACAATGTTGTCCGGTGCAAACCAACTGCAGAGGACGGCTGTCCTGGCCTCACCCAGTCATGACATCCTGGGGCTTCAGAACCAACCACTTGGGAGGAGCACCCTAAGGAGTCTGCATGAGCCCCCCTAGATACACATGTGTGATTGGGTGGGTGAGTAGAGGTCAGCAGTTACAGGACAGTAGGTGGGACTGACCGGCGAGTTTCTGTGAACTCCAGCTCCGTTTGTAGAGCGCCACCATCCTGGGAAGCCTCACTCCCGTTGTGTTCCCCTGTGAGCACCCTGGGCATGCCACAAGGGCACAATGTGTTGTAAAGAAATATCCGTGATACTAACGTGTCTGGATTTGTTCTGGCAAGGAAGGAATTGGCCAGAAAGGGTCTCAAACCCAGAATCCCTTACCTTGCTTGGTCCTCAGACTGTCTCAGACGTTCGAGAAACTGTCAGAGCTGGAGGAAGTAGAATGGTTAAGAGTTGGGGGCCCTTTGGAGCCAGAGCAATAGGA